CTTCTTGATCACCATGATATGAGCTGCTTCCCTCTGCCACACTCTCCCGCCATGACGTTCAGCCTTACCTCGAACCCTGAGGAATGGAACTGGTCTTCTGTGGACTAAGACCTCTAAAACTCTGAGCCCTCAAATAAACTCTTCCTCCTCTATAATTGTGCTGGTTGAGTCCTTTAGTCACAGCAGCAAAAACGCTAAGACATCACCTTGAAAAATCTGTCTTGCATTTGTGGAATGAGCATGGCACACTTCTTCACCCTGCTCTCATTTGGTCCTTCCAGTACCCTGCAAGGGCCAGGGACATTGTGGTCATCCCCACCTCTATCTCCCCCTCCATGTCCCAATCACAGGGGTGGATGCTCTGCTCCCCAAATGTGACAATCCTACTCTGCCTCTGAGCCACTGCACAGGTTGTTCCCTCTGCCGGGTATACTTTTCCTGCCATCCTCTGTCTCTTGCCTGTTCATCTTCCAAGCCTTGGCCTCATGGCTGGCCCACCCATGGAGTAGGAGCCCAGCCCAGAGGTTCCCGTCACCAGGGCTCCTGGTCACTGTCTGACCTTGCTGTGTTGTCCTTACCAGTTTCTTGGTACTGTCTCTCCAGCAAGAGCTGGGCCAGGATTCAGAAGATGCCTGAGGAGTCCAGGTTCAATAAATGAAGTGGGCTGTGGGCGCCCAGGGCTTCATGGAGCTTCAGTACCGGCCTGGAGCCTCCGTCTGAGAATGGACACGTCCAAGAGCACACGTACACACTGGAGTGGGAGGGTAGTGGCTGAGCTCTGATTTTCTCTCTGCCATTCTGCATTCTTCAAATGTAACACGATGAACAGGTACCATTTTGTAATAAAATAATTCATTTTAAAATATTTTAAGTCTCTTGGTCAGCAAGGTGATGGGAGAGGCAGGATTCAAGGTGAGCTTCTGACACCCAAACTCAGCCCTCCTATTTTGCCCCGTAGCCTCCTGGGTCCCTTTTTGGCAACCCTGTAGGGGAAGAAATGAGATGGAGCTGTGATGGGCATGAATCTGGAGTCACACAGACCTGAATTCAAGTCTTGCTCCTCCATTGGCTTCCCAGGGAGGAGACCTACCCTCTCTGGGTCTCGGTTTTCCTATTGGCCAAAAAAGGGTAATGACCATTGTGGATGTCACTGATATCATTAGATCATCCCTGCTGCTGACTGTGACATGCACAAAATACTTCTAAAGCTTCTACCCTTCCTCCTGCCAGGAATCCCTGCCCCACATACATACAGACCTACATCACCAGTGCCTTTGCCTCCCCAGTTTTTCATCTTCCCTCCCTAGGAGAGATGGACCCCCCCCAGAGAACCCACCCAGCCTTCTTCCTCAGCCTACATCTCACAGGGAGGCCGCTGTTGCTGGGACACCAGCCTGCACTTCAGACAAGTCTTGGCTCAAGTCTTAGGGTTGCTGTTTTCCTGCCTGTGTGGCTTTAGGAAATCACTTCACCGCTCTGTGAAATGGGCATGCAGGCATCCTAAGGGATAAGAAGAGAATGAAAGGAGATGAGAGGTATCAAGGGCCTGCCCAGCACGCCAGATACACAGTGTCCCTTATCTGGTATCAACACAAATAGAAAAGTGGCCCTCCTCCCTCCGCCACTGCCACTCAGCCCCAGCCTCACCCCTCTCTCCTCTTACCTGCTTCTTTTCTTCTTCACAGCCGCTGTCATCAGTTATAGACATCACAGTGATCTTCCTTTTCTCCTCCTTCTGTGGAATGTGAGATCCAGAGCGCAGGCCAGCTCGCCTCGGTTCCCACCGTGTCCCCAGGTCTGGTGCACAGGAGGTGCTGAGCGAGTGTGTCAGGAACCGATGGTGTCTCCAGCGCCTATCCTGGGCACTGCTGGGGTTTGGGAGACTCTGGGAAAGCCATCTGTCCCAATGGGCCACCTACTTGCTCACTGGAAATGCTAGCCAGGCTGCTACAGTCTCTCTGAGGGGAGTCATTTCTCCAGACCAGAGAAAACAGTAGGTACTAAGACAACTTAATGGAGAGAGAATCATCTTCCAACAAATGGTGCCGAGACAACGGGAGATCCATGTGCAGAAAAATGAGCTGGGACCCTGCCTCACATCATACACGAAATTAACTCAAAATGGATGGATCAGGGCTGGGGTTGTGACTCAGCACTTGCCTGTGTGTGTGAGCAGTGCATACAAACAAATAAAATAAAGGTCCATCAAGAACTAAAAAAAAAAATATTTAAAAACAGATGGATCAGACTAAAGTTAAAAGCTGATACTATAAGCCTCTTAAAAGAAAGTATAGGGCTGGGGATGTGGCTCAAGCGGTAGCGCGCTCGCCTGGCATGCATACGGCCTGGGTTCAATCCTCAGCACCACATACAAACAAAGACGTTGTGTCTGCCGAGAACTAAAAAAAATAAATATTAAGAAAAAAATTCTCTCTCTCTCTCTCTCTTTAAAAAAAAAAAAAGAAAGTATAGAAGTCTCCTGTCAAAGCCTTCCTAGAGATGATGTCAAATGCAAAGCCAGCAAAATGTAAAAAAAAGTTGGACATATCAAAATGAAAACTTTTGTGCTTTAAGGAATACCATTAAGAAAATACTGAGTGAAAAGAGAACTCACACAATGGAAGAAGATATTTGCTAACTGGATATCTGACAAGGGACCTGCATCTAGAATGTTCAAAGAACTCCTGCAAACCAGACATGCTGTCATTTACCTGTCATCCCAGCAAATGGGGAGGCTGAGGCAGGAAGATCTCAAGTTCAAGGCCAGGATCAGCAACTTAACAAGACCCTGTCTCAATAAAAAAAAAAAAAAAAATTGAAGCACTGGCAGTATAGCTCAGTAGCAGAGTGTCCCTGAGTTTAATACCCAGTGCCGAAAAAAAAAAAGGTTAACCACAGAGTTACAGAGTGACTCCTCAGTTCCACACCTATGTATGTACCCAAGAGAAATTAAAACATGCAGCCACACAAAAACATGTATATAATGTCCATAGCAGTATCACTCATAATAACCAAAAGTAAAAACAATATAAATATCCCTCAAAGTAAAAATAAATAAAAAATAATGAATGGAATATTATTTTGGTAATAAAAGTGAATGAAATTCTGATACATGTTACCATATGGATAATCTTGAAAGCATGTTAAATGAAAGAAGTAGTCATAAAAGGACCACAAATTGTATGTCTCATTTATATAAGATGTCTAGAATAAGCCAATTTACAGAAAAAGATTAGTGGATTAGTGGTTGCCTAGGAGTAGAGGAAGGTAGGAAAATGAGGGGGAGAGTTATACAGTTTTGTGAATATACAAAAAAATCATTGTATTGTACACTTCAACTGGAAGAACTCTATGCTGTGAATAATGTCTCTGCTTGTGCTCCCTGGGATCAGGGAGCCTGTGGAGCACTGGTGTCCTGGAATCCTTGTTCTTTCTCCAGCCTCTGTTGCATCCTATAGTTTGCCCAGCATCCCAGTCTTGGGCCTAGAGCTGCCTCCACTAATACTCAGGCAACTCTCCCAAAGCAACCTGAGGTTGTCAGGAAAGGGGGCACCAACTATGGGGAGCACCAACTCCTTGCCACCTGCTTTGCACAAGACTACTGCTAAGGGGAAGACTTTCAGGACCCTGAGAGTAAGCAACTCCTTACATCCCACACCCTAGGTATCTCCCTAAGGTCCTAGCTGTGGCTATATGCCATACACTCAACACCTCATTTAATCCTCATGACATTCCTGCAATCCATATGACTACTGTCCAGATGCAGGGTTGGAGACAAACAGAGCACGTCTCCTCAATGGCCCCAGAATCTGTTCTCTCTCCAGCTGCTCCCTTACCATACAAAGTAGAGGAGACCTGGGAAGGAAGCCCCTTACAACCAGAGGGAGCTCAGCAAAACTGCCAGCTGCTCTCCACCTCCAAGAACACACTCCTGAGGACTCTGAGTAACCTTGCTTGAGTCTGTGTGGCAGGTGGGAATCCCAAGGCCTCCTGAACACCATTCAGGAGCAGAGGATGGTGTTAGAACCTTAGAACCAGATTGGCCACTAGACCCCAAGAGTGGTCACTATCATCAGCAAGTCAGCTGGGACCTGGGCTGGAATTCACAGTCCCCACACTAAAATGCTGTTTATTCATTTATTCAGCAAGCATGTAAACTATGTACTATGTGCCAGACCCTGGGTGTAAAATAAGAAATGACGCATTCTGGCATGAGAGACAGAAAACACTCACCAATAAGTGACTGGGAAAGAGTAACCTGTCAACAATCCAATAAGGAAAATGGAATAGCCATGAGACAGAGAGGCTGAAGCACCTGGAGCAGGCAGGCTTAGACCTGGAGGCCCTGCACAGTGGCAAGGACAGACCTGCCAGCCTGAAAGGCAGGTCCGGGAGGGGGTAAAAGGCTGCCTACTCCATGGGCAGAGCCTCTGGATGATAGCCAGTGTGCTTGGTGTGTTTTTTCCCTGGCTGGTGTGAGACTTCCAAGTGCCTACACTGTCCCTACCCGCACCCCTACCACCAGAGGACCTTCAAAAGAGGCATGTAGCTATGCTGGAGTTGACAGCAGAGGAGCTCCTCACCCAGAATGCCAGCTGGAATACACAGAAACCCAAACTGGAGACCTGGATGAGGGAGAGACTCCTGGAGAAAGGGGGACCACTGGAGTTGCTCACCTCCTCTTTTCCCTCATACCCGTGCTGTGGCTCTGGGGGGCTGTATGTCTGATGGGGCAAAGAAGGCAGGCCCTGAGTTCCCTCCTTAGTGCCTGCCCCCAGCCTAACTTCCATCCCCAAGTGCGTAGAGAGCCTTGGGATGGGCAGAGGCAGGACCCAAGACCTTCAAATAATCCCCATGACCTCCTGGCTCTGCCCCTCTTCCTAAGCTTAAGCACCTTCCTCCAAGCAGCCCCCCCCAAGCTCCACCCCTCCACAGGACTCCAGGAGAATGATGGTCACAGGTTGGAATTTTGGGGACTCCCTATGAATCCTTCAGTCCTACTGAGTGCTGGCCTGTGTGCCCACCCTACAGAGGCAGATGTTGAGACAAAGCCAAGGTGTTCAGTGCCTCTAATGGTCAGTAGAAGAACCGCATCTGGACACAGGGAGGTTTTGACTCTTTTCCCTCCCTATCTTGTTTCCCTGGAACAAGGAATCTCCTGCTGAGGGGAGCTTTGGTTCCCATCTGCATTTCCAAAGAATAGGGTCTGGTCAGGAGAAGGTGGAGTGTGAGACTCCCACAAGGCCCAGCCCTTTCCAGGGTTCAATGGACAAGGGAGTGAGGTGGGCCTGGAGCTCTGAGGCCACCTCCTTTCCACCTCACTTTTGCTCTTGGGTTGGAGTCCAGCAGGCCCCAGCCAACCTCTTTCACTTGTTTGGGCTTCTGCTGGCTGAGCTAAGCTGTGGTCTATCTGGCCGTCGGATTAATATCCAGATATTAAGTAAACAATAAATTAGCAAAACTACAAGAAAATTTTACAGCCCTTTGCATTTGGCAATCATTGAGTGTTAATTAGAAATTCATTACAATTAAAACCCTGCCTAAACAGGGCCTGCGCGCCTTAATTACATCTGATTTTTAATTCAGAATACGTGTTTACACAGTAAGCGCTACGTACCCCATGATTATCCCCAATCCTCTTTATACTGTACTAATTATGTAAATTAAACCTAATTAACTGACGAAAACTGCCGTTAATTCAACTGGTAAAAGATATGTGCTTGCGGAGGAGGCGCGGCCGCCCAACCCCAGCCCAAGCCAGAGCCCGAATGGGCGCTAGAGGCCGGCCGCGTGGACGCGACGCCGGCGACTCGGAGGCAGCGCGGGCCTGGCGGGGGCTGCGAGGAGCATACCAGTACCGTTCCGGATCCCAAGTCCGGCTCCACGACCCCTGGTGCCACCGGGCGGCAGATAAGAGACCAAAAAATCCCTAATAATGGGGACCAGGGAGGCTAAAAGCCATGTCTTCCACGGGCTCCCGGTGCTCTGGACAGGGCCGCAGGATCCAGAAACCTCAGTGTGGAAAAGGAGTGCCACACACAGCCATCTGAGTCTGGGTTCAAGTCCCAGCTCTGCCACTCACTGGCTTCCTGAATCTGAGCAACAGCGAGGCCTTGGCGATAATGAAACGTACAGCGCTGCACACTCCTGACACCAAGCTAGGCCCTTCTCTGCAGCACGCCAGGCGCGCTTTGGGTCTAGAGCAGTCCACCTGTCTTAGTGACTGAAGAACGTGGGGTGGATTGGCTTCCACTGCCTGGCCCATAGTTTCCTACCTGTAAAATGGAATTAAATGATCAAAACCTATTCCCGTAGCTGTTGTGAGAATCGGTTTTGCAAACCATAAAATATAGTCACATTGACATTAACCTTCTGGTCGTTGGTCCAGAGCAGAACTCCAACCCTGAACCCCATGACGGGCTCCCGGGAGACCACCACCAAGCAGCAGCGCTTCCTCAGTCTCTCTCCAGGTGCTTTCGATCTTTCTCTGGCTTAAACCAAGGCCCAGATACTCAGCGGATCTGCAGCCTCTGGGCCCAAAGCGAGGAGCTGTCCGTACTTTAGTGCTGAATAAAGAGTAGAGGTGACACTGCACGCCCCCTGGTGCGGTAGCCTAGGGTGCAATCCTTTGTAGGACAGGTCGGGCGGGGGCGGGCGCATCCAGGCTGCCGGGAACCCCCAGAGGCCAGCCCCAGAGGCGTTGTTGGCCCTTGCAATACAATAGAGGCAGAATAGGCAGGCCCTCCTCTGGGGGACCCGGCCCATCCTCTCTACTCCCACCCCACCACCCTAGGGGCGTCCAGGCATTGTCACTACCTTACCAATTCTGAGGTTCCTTTAAAAAAAATCATTAGAAGGCTAAGAATAATTACCAAGTGGGATTGTAATTACGAGAAGGGGGAACCTGGGCCAAGGGAGGGGAGAAATGCGGATGAGGACTGAGGATAGCTCTCGGACTGGGGCGGAAAATAGGTTCCTGTTGTCCTCTGAGGGAATGGTGGGTTTAGAGAACCACAGAGTTGGAGAGGGACAGAGGCAGTGCCAGGGAAAGGCGCGAATGGAGGGCCCAGAGAGAGAAAAAGGGGCTGAGCAGACCACAAGGCAAACCGGACAGAAAACAGTGAACTGGGGGGTGGACTGAGGGAGGCGAAAGCAAGAACCTGATCTTGAAGAGGCCGCAGAGCCCTCAAACTTAGGAGTGGGTTTTGAGGCTCAAAGAACACGTCTGGGGGTCGCGGGGAGGTGAGCCCCCAGACCAGGCCTTGCAGCTCCTCTCCCCGATGGCTAGGCCAGAAAGATCTTTATGAGCCTCCAGAGACCTTCCTAGGGTCCCCGAAGCAAGGAGAGTAGAAGGGGGTGGGGGAGGGAGCAAGAAAAGTAGGGGTGGGGGAAAAGCGAAGGAGAAGGGGAGACAAACTCCAGAGAATCTGGAACGCGGAAAGAGGGCCCACAACCCAGAGCTGGAAGGAAAACGAGGGGGCGGGGGCGACCCAGCGTCGCTACCCGCGGAAGATTTATGGCGCCGCCCGAGTTCCAAGGACAGGCTGCACTCTCCGCTGCTGCCACCGCCGGTAGCCGCCGTGGCCGCTGCGCCCCCTGCCCGGGCGGCCCGCCGCGCCCCAGGCCATCCCTGCCATTATTAACTTCTGTTTGATTAGGGTAATTGTTCAAACTTGGGCTGGACAGTATGATTAATTACAGTTTAATTAACGTGTCCATTAAGGACACTTAATGCCACCGGGGCAGGAAGGCGGGGGAGCGGCCAAGGGGGCGCCTGAATGCGGGCAAGGAGGGGTGGAGAGGGGATCACTAGTAACTCAAAGGAAGTAGAGACCGAGATTGAGAGAGAAGCTGGAAACCCAAACGGGTAGAGGGAGAGAGAGACAGACAGGGAGGTGGGGTAGGGGAGATGAAATGATAATGGAGCTTTAGGGAGAAAGAACGAGCCGAGGGAGGCTGTTGCGTCAGGCGTTGGACACGCACAGACACTGGAAAACTGAGATAGCAACATTGAAGAGTAGTTGACCCCAAATCTCCCAAAGATGACTTGGCTTCTTGCCCTGGGCCTGTTGGGTAATGGTGAAGGGAGTCATTCAATGTTTGGGGGCGGGGGAGGCAAAACTAGTTTTGAGTCCCCTCCCCAAACTACAGCGCTCCGGATGCCTCTTGCCTAAAAGGGTATGGGACGGATCTGCCCCTTCTCCGCGTCTGCTCCCTCCTGCGCCCGGTACCCTAGTCACGATCCCAGCCACTGGCAACCCTCCGGTCTCTCTAGGGCCACTCTTGGTTGCACTGCTCTGCAGCGGGAAAGTAAGGTACTCCTCCCTGCTCCCTTTTCTCTTGAGTCGCTCTCAACTCCATCACCCGCCCGGCTGGGCCCGCTTCTGGCGCTTTGGCGTGGAGCACTGGACCCTCCCCACTTTGTTCTTGGGGGGCAAACTTTGAGGGTCCTAGGCCCTTCCTCCCACTTGGCCTCTCTAGCTAGCGCGGGCCGCAGGTGCGGGACGTGGGGCGCAGGTGTGAGGCCGCTTACCTGGGGCGCGCAGGCCCTGGGGCTACCAAGAGGCAGCGGGCGCAGCGCGTGGCCCGCGGGCGGGTGGACCCGGGGAGGGCGCGAGTGATGCGCGGGCGGTGGGTGTGGCGCCCTGGCTCGCAGCTGTCAGGCGCGCCCGCCCAGTGCTGGCCTCGCCACTCCGGCTGTGACCGCGCGGTGCCCGCCGCCACGCCATGCGCTCTAGGTTTCCGCCTCTTCTACGGGCCAGTCCCCGGCCTCGGGGACAGCGGCTCAGGGCACACTTCTCCGAGCCCAGAGCCCTGGCGCCCAGCGCCTGCTGAGAGCGGGAGGGGCCGCGGGTGGGAGCGCGGGGAGCCGGGGAGCTAGGCTGTGCGCGCGCGCGCGGGGAGGGGCCGCGCCGTCACCCGGAGAGCCCGGCGGATCCCGGACTCCCTCCCGCCCCTCCGCCCGCCGCGCACCTCCGCGCACCGCTCGCCCGGCTCCAGCCGCCGCCGCACGGTGAGTACCCGCTACCGGTAACCCATCGCCCCCATGCCCTGCCGCCACAGCTTTTTTTTCGTTTAGTTCTGATTTGGACTCTTATGGCTGCTGTTTTTATTATACCTAACGACTCTACCGCCTGGGTCCCACCGCTGTCCGCCTTCCGGCTCCTTACCCTCCCCAAGCTCATCCCTGAAGCTTCAGGAGCCCGAGAGGGTTCTGGAGCTCTCCTGGCAACTGCTTCTTGTCGCTGCATACGGCCCTTCATACGGCCTTTCGCTTTGGACCCCCAAATACTATTACTTTCCTAGGGCCCTTCTTCTTCTGGCTCCAGGGCCCGGAGCCCCCCTTCTTTTACTCGGAAAAATACCGCGGGGACCCAGGACCTCAGATTGGGGAGGATGCACAAGGCTCAGGATGCTGCTCTCTTCACTGTATGCGGGCCACGCACACTTGCCGATTTCGGGGAACCAAGAAGCCATAGTCATTTCCCAGAGCCGCTGATCCCCTAGCCACCTCCACAGCCTGCCTGAGAGCCCTCCCTGGGGGCGCGCGGCTTGCCTTGTTGACCCCTCAGCTAGGGAGTTAGAATAGTGGTTTTCTGCCTCCTAAAATGTTACAAGAGACTTCAATGCGAAGGGAGGGTCAACTTGTTTCAGTTTGATTACAAGAGATAAAGATGAAACAGATAATAGATAAATAGCTTGATACTTGAAGAAGGTACAAGACAGATGGGAGAAACAAGAGCGAGCTGACAGAGACCCGACAGTTCAGGGACAGATAAGATCAACAAATGGGGCGCACCTAAGCAAATAGGGGAATGAGAAAGACTGAATATTTCAGTCTCTTCACTGAAAGCTTTTGAACTCAAGCCACTTGTCCTGCTGAAGTGGCCCTTCTGAAAATGAATTTTCCTTTCCAGGCCCAGTTTAGGGGAGGAGCCCTCCGGTTTAGGCTGCCCGGCCACAGGAGTGCCTGCAGCCTGGCTCAGGTCGGAGCCTTGTGTGTCTAAGGACATGTGGTTGGGCAGGGTGACCTAAAAGGCCCTAAACATCAATTTCCAGTTTTCCTGGCTGCTGTAGTCTGCAGGTGAGGTGGCACCTACTGCCTCAGCCAGAGAGCAAAGTGAGGGACCAGCAGCACCTTTCATGCCTGGAGCTTTGCTGTGGCTTCAAGACCCACCAGGATTCCTTTTAGCCTATATGAGCCAGGACAGCGGGACTTGAAGGATACTCAGGGAAGAGTCGCCTGAACAAGAAGCAGCCCAGGGCCTCCTTCGGAGCCTGGATGTGGCCTGAATGGGAAAGACACATCTGAAGGAGGAAACCTCAGAAAGTGGGAGATTGGAAGTGAAGGCAAAGTGGCTTCTGAATAACTTCTTTGAGAACCTCTATGTCCCATGCACTGACCCAGATGGAAACTAGCTTTGGTCTGGAGCACAGTTATAAAAGCAGGAAATAGTTGTTAGGAACTGCACAATTCTGGACCCACTGACAGCCGAAAAGAAAACCATTTACAGATCCAGCCAGAATCTTTCTGCTCAATGAATGCGGGGTGCTAGGCGTGAGAAGAGAAGCTTTGGTTTGTGGAAACCCACACTTTTGTCCCGGGAAAACGGCCAGCGCCGAGCTAGGTGCAGTGGGGGCAGCCCTGGGTCTGGGCGCCTGCTTTGAAGAGGGTAGGGTTCAGCACCACGAACAGCGGTCGCCTCTGTCTCTCCCCCTCCCAAGCAGCCCTGGGTTCCTCCTCTTTCTCCCCCACCCCACCTCCTGCAGTCTGGAGATGGGCAGTGTCCGCCCCTCCTTCGACTCCCCGCTCCTCGCACTGCCCCCTCCCGCCCACGTGCATGCGCGACCAAGCAGAGGGGCCACGGTCCCCGAAGTCCGGGCTTCAGGACCCGGGCCGGCAGGGCAGGTTGCAAGGGTGGCTGAAGGCGCGTGGATCTGGGCGCCAGAAAGCCTAGACTTCGCAATGGCATTGCTGTGTGGCCTTGGGCAAGTCACTCTCCATCTCTGGGTCCCACTTCCTTCCCAATCCAAAAAAAAAAAGGGGGGGGTTTCTTGCAGCTGGGGCCTTTCTGAGGTTTTCATTACCCCTTCTCCTACCTCAAACCCCAGGGGCTTTAGTTCCGGCACCACCATGGGTCTGAATAACAAAAGGCGCCCGTCCAGGGAACAACTGAGCTTGAATCCCCACTGCCAAATACCTTCGGTGCGCCCGACTCGGTGCGCCCAGCTGGGCGGGCCCGAGACTAGGTGAAGGCGCTGAAAATGGCTCATCTGCTCTCTGCTTTCTCTATTTCTTAGGAGCGGCGGCATGGAGGCTCTCACCACTCAACTGGGGCCGGGGCGCGAGGGCAGCTCCTCTCCAAACTCCAAACAGGAGCTGCAGCCTTATTCGGGCTCCAGCGCCCTCAAACCTAACCAGGTGGGAGAGACGTCGCTGTATGGGGTGCCTATCGTGTCTCTTGTCATCGACGGCCAGGAGCGCCTATGCCTGGCGCAAATCTCCAATACTCTTCTCAAGAACTACAGCTACAATGAGATCCACAACCGACGAGTGGCTCTGGGTATCACGTGCGTGCAGTGTACGCCGGTGCAGCTGGAGATTCTACGTCGGGCCGGGGCCATGCCCATCTCCTCACGCCGCTGCGGCATGATCACCAAGCGCGAGGCCGAACGCCTGTGCAAGTCATTCCTGGGCGAGCACAAACCACCCAAACTGCCTGAGAACTTTGCCTTTGATGTGGTGCATGAGTGTGCTTGGGGCTCGCGTGGCAGCTTCATCCCTGCGCGTTACAACAGTTCGCGTGCCAAGTGCATCAAGTGCGGCTACTGCAGCATGTACTTCTCGCCTAACAAGTTCATCTTCCACTCGCACCGCACACCCGATGCCAAGTATACTCAGCCCGACGCCGCCAACTTCAACTCGTGGCGTCGTCACCTCAAACTCAGTGACAAGTCGGCCACAGACGAACTGAGCCACGCTTGGGAGGACGTCAAGGCTATGTTTAATGGTGGCACGCGCAAGCGGACCTTCTCGCTGCAAGGAGGTGGCGGAGGAGGCGCTAATGGCGGGTCCGGTGGTCAAGGGAAGGGTGGAACTGGTGGCGGTGGTGGCGGGGGTCCAGGGTGCGCTGAAATGGCCCCAGGCCCACCGCCCCACAAAAGCCTGCGCTGTGGTGAAGATGAGGCGGCCGGGCCTCCGGGTCCACCTCCTCCCCACCCACAGCGCGGACTTGGCCTGGCGGGAGGAGCTAGCGGCCCGACAGGCCCTGGAGGGCCTGGTGGCAGCGCAGGCGTACGTAGCTACCCTGTGATCCCGGTGCCCAGCAAAGGCTTTGGCCTCTTGCAAAAGCTGCCCCCGCCACTTTTCCCTCATCCTTATGGTTTTCCCACGGCCTTCGGCCTATGCCCCAAAAAGGATGACCCAGTATTGGGTGCAGGTGAACCCAAGGGCGGCCCTGGCACAGGGAGCGGCGGCGGCGCGGGCAC